GGATCCCATCCAAAAACAGGGAAATGGCATCGGGGAAGGCAAAGCAAGCAGCACTGAACGTGTAATGACACCAATTAATGAGTGCTTGCCTCATGTTTTGGAATACAGGGATTCATTTCATAAACCTGTTAGGGCTGTGTTTAGAGCAATAATATCCCACTTTCTTTTAAAGGGAAACAATCTAACTTTTTTCCATTTGCTGCTTCTAGCAGTGTCAGCTTCTTTAATTATTGCTATTTAATTATGTCTTAGCATTTGAACTCTCCTCATTAACCTTCATCAGACTGAGTCACCTAGGATAATGCAATGGCAAAGCCAACATCTTGCATAATTTTTTTTTTCCTCCCTCCACCCCCTTCCCAAATCTCTGGAATTCATTAATTGAATGTTAGAGCATCTGGGCCACTTGAGTATTCGAATCATGCAGGAACATGGGTAGTGTTAGCCTGCTATGGCTCAATAAACCTCTCATTCTCTTGTTCACGGTTCATTTGAATTTTGCAGAAAACTCTGGAAAAAAAAAAAGAAAAAAGATGAGGCATTCAAATAAAAATGGTGCAGATAATGGTAGGAGGAGATGAGGAACTCAGACAAATGTTTACCCCAAGTACTGTGTGTATATGGCACTGTCATCCCTTTAATTGAGAAAGAGAATGGGCTTTAGAGCAGAAACCCACAAGCTAGGTTCTATTCCTGTGTGACCTTCAGCTGTCTGTGGAGCTGTCCTCTCTATCTGAAAGCAGTTTTTATTTTATGCTGCTGAAGTAGCAGAGCCTAATTTCTCGTTTGACAAGTGCTCTAAGATCCTGTGAGGAAAGGTGTAATAAAAGTGCAAAATAAAACTATATGTGGCAGTATTACTCCTGATTCTAATGGATTTTAGTAGGATCTTTAATCCCTTTATCTACCATGAATAGATGCATTGTCTATAAAAGAAGCTTTAAGCTCTTTCAGTTCACTTTGGTAACACCTTGGCAATGCAAATACGCCTTTGGAGTGTGTCTCATGATACTGGAAAATGAAAGTACAGGAATAAAGTGTAATGACTGTGATGGGGGCTCTTTAATGTGGCTGCTGGACCTAAGCAAGACTTCTGTGGTTTCCTCCCGTTTCTTTGCTCTCCACACCACAAAGACAAGGTTCTTGCTGCCTTTTCTCCCATCACAGAGTGTTCCCAGGCCCTGTCTTGGATCAGGCACTCATGGAAGAGAATATAGGCTGTGTCACCTCTGACAGAGCTGTACCTCAGAAGTACACTTAACAACACATTCTCCTTTCCTTTCCTTATATGTATCTAAACATAACTTTATTCAGCAAGGAGTACAGTTTACTCAGATCCCTCAGCTGTAGAACTCCTGTGTGAAGCAGAAGCAGGATGAATCTTTCACACTGAGAATTGCCTGTGGTAAGTGTGGATGTGCTTCTGATAGGAGAGGGCTGACCTTTGTTCCACAGGGGGAGAAGCAGGGAGAGACAAAACCATAGATTTGTCATAACTAAGTATATAGTATTTATCTCATTTATCTGAGCTGCCCAGGCTGGAGGCTCCACACTCTCCTCGCAGTCAGTGCAGGAGGACTGGAAGCCTGGTCCCACTGATGCTTGCTTTGCTCTCTGGAGATGCTTGGCTCATTGCTTAAATACCTAAAGCCAGGTGGGATGAATCCTGGTTGAAAGCTGAGGCACAGAAATGCAGTTAGGTGCCTGATTCCTCCTTATCACCTAAATCCTGTAGATTCAAAAAGGACAGAGCTTTTTTGAATATCCTCCTGGATATGTTCCTGCCTAATCTCTTCCCTGCAGCCTCAGTACTTCCTTTGTCAGGCTTTACTCTCCTGTGCTTTTCCAGGGAGCCAGAGGAGCTCTCCATTCCTCTGCCTGAGGCTACAAGCGACCTTTCCTTACCTTTTTTTTCCATGTAACATTTGTTGCTACTGCTGGCAAACGAGCTCTCCCACCGGCTTGGCTCTGAGCAGCCTGACCGCTGGGTCTGAGCTACAAACCTTGCCATTGTCAGCCCAGGAAAGGGGCTCAAGGTTTCTACCTCGAATGGGAGAGGAGAGCTCTCCTTTGAGTTTAGGATCTGAGCCACTGAACGACCCAGATGTGGCTGTGGGGTTGCTCAGTCAGGCAGCAGAACCTGAGGGAAAGGGTTGTGCCGTGCTTTGCAGCGGTCACATCGCTGTGTCACCGCTCAAGTTGAGTGTCACTGTGCTGGCACCCCAGCAGCTCATATCTGCTGCCAGAGCAGCATCCCCACTGAGCCTGTCACTGCTTCCTTTCGGCTGCTTGTTATTTCTTGCTGAATTAAGTAACGCCTTGGATTTTCTAAGGGCTGGCTCTTGCAGTCCTTCATTGTCACTCTGTTGGGAATGGCGAGAAGAATGACACAACTCTTGTGAGTTGAACAGGAGAGAGAGGTTTATTGCCTCAGATCTTCTGTTATAGACTGATACATGAAAGTAGAGAAAGGTAAAACTCTTATTGGTTAGTGAACTAACACATCACCATCATTGGTCAGTGGGGTACACCACCCCTCAACCTTCTCCTGCAAGAAAACAAGGAACAGACAAACAACACCTGCAAGGCTGTCTTCTGTCTCTGAGGTTTGTTTTAATTTCTCCTTACGATTTCCCAGGCCACTTTCTCAGGCAGACTGAGAAAGTTATGCTGCCTGCTTTTCCACAGGCACTGTGCTCCCTGCTTTTGTTCATAGTTAGCATCCATACTTTGTAGCTGGGAATCTGGAATAGATGCTTATTTATTTTCCTCTCCTCTTTACTGCTTGCATTCTGCATTTGTTAAGCTTCAGTTACAGTCTGTCTTCATTCATAGGAAACAAAGTGAAACTTCCTCCCTAGAAACCTTTGACCTTGTCTCTTTGTAGAGATCTTGATTACCCCAAACAAGGTGTCCAAAGCCAGGCTATTTCACTGCTTTCATTCGTTAAGAGCTTGGTATTTTTTTTATTTTTTTTTTGCCCTTCATGCAGAAGCAGTTTTCTTTACTTATCTTGTCCTTTTTTACCTCTTTCACTGTCTGAAACTGAAGTGGAAAAGAGGAGTGGAAGAGCCATAAACAGTGCAGAGAAAATGACAGACTGCTCTGTGTCACTGACTCTGCAGAACAGGTCACCAGGCAGAGACATCAGCCTCTTATTGCCTATGCTCAGTCTTTCATATTTTTTATTTGTCTTTACTGTTATGTATCTGATTTGGAGACATGAATTCTTTTGACAATGACCAGCCAATAAGTCCACATTTGTCAAAGAGAAAATGAGATAACCATCATGTGGCCTGGTATTACTGGGAGGGCAGATTAGATTTGCTTGAAAAAGGTGGCATTTTATGGTTACTTTTATGCTCTGTAAATACAGGAAGAGACAGATTGAAGAGATTACTTTACAAAAAAATTCCATTTCAAGTCACTGGGGAAGCAGGTAACCTTCAGATCTGAGCTTTGCATAAGAATGCAGTGGAAGAGGAAGGATTTCTATTAACAGTGCCAGCTTAAAAAATAACCCACCACAACATTGTCTGCTGCTCTACATCAACCTTTTCTCCCTGCTTGTTTTGTCCTTTCCACCCACCTTGTCCCCTGGCAGTGCCATTAGAGATGAGCCAGTGACTCGGGGACGTTCCTTGGCTAAGTGGTCACAGTCCCACTGGCTCCAGCGGAGCGGGGACGATTTATGCTGGCTGAACGATGGTCCCTCGTGGCTTGAGCTTTACCCAGAAGGGTTTTTTTTTCATCAGCAGTTCTGGGATTTTTGTTTGGTTTTCTGAGGTGACAGAGGTCACTCGTAAAGTTTGCACCTGTGTGCAAAGTTTGAGGCTGTTGGTGACGGGGGTATGAGCGCCTTTCAGAGCTGCTCTGAGTCTGAAGGAGCTGGTTTAGGGAGACAGGCTGGCTTCTGCTTGGAAAAATCAACAGATGTTTTAAAATAAACAAACCAACTAGATGGACCTTTGTATTATCCAGACCATGTGCCATCAAATCAGTTTTTTATTCTCCTTCTCATGCTTTGATTGTGGAAGAATGGAACTAATCTGCCACTTTTGTGATAGCCCTTGAGGCAGGACTGTGGTTTTGTGAGGGGCATAACTCAGTGCACCTCCTGTTTCTTTAGTGAGGAAACAACACAGCCAGTGTAAAAATGATCTAATAATATTGATTGCTTTCATGCAAAGCCAAAAAGGAGTCTGTTGCATAATAACAATTTGCAAACTTTTGGATGACGCTTGGGTAGAAATGGGAACTTCTGGATGCTTGTTAATCCAAGCACCAACACTGTGTCTCTCTTTGCACTTGAGCTGTGCACCCACATGGAACTATTTCAAGAGCAATAAATGAAATCAGAGTGTGGTCCATCATGCTACTCACAATAAAAAATAAATGGAGCCAATTAGAGTAAAATAGTTGTGTATCAAGCTCAGATGTGGAGCTATCCAAATAGCCACCAAACAATATGATTAATTTAATAAAGATTCAAGTGATCTTTGACCACTGTTTTAATTAGGTTTAAATGAAAATTAATTTTATGTTCCATCTGTGGCTCTGGTGCATTTACTTTTCCAGCTACTTCAGGTGATTGCCCATATTCCCAGATTTGTCATATTTGACTTTTTAACCTTGTGAAATGAAGCACGAGGTCCTTTGGCACCGATCACAAACCTGATGCAGGAAGCTATGTGAAATCCCAACTTTGGCTCTCCTTTGGTAGTCACAGAAACCCCAAGCAGTGAAATACTCGTGGCTCAGGCACAGAGGGGAATCGTGGATCCATTGAGGTCAATGCCACAATTATCTTTTGTCCACAATTTCATGCTTGGGGGAAATACTACTCACCTGAAAGGGCTGAGGGTGTTGAATAGACAGCATGGGCAGCTAAATGTGGGAAAGGGAACTGTGAGATTTAGCAGGGTTTGGGCTGGAGGTCTGGTGAAACCTACACCAACTCTGTCCACTGCTTATGAGGAATCTGTGTTTCATCACAGACCTTCAGAGTCTCTTTCCATTGAGGTTGTCTGACTTCAGAAGCAGGAGATGACCCTTCTTGTTTGTGCTGGTGTCTGGGTACTCTGTTATCTGCACCTCCTTGCAGAAACAACCTCTCTGCAGAGCTGGCTGACCAAATATGAGATAAGTAGGAGAGCCCGTGAGAAGTCAGGTATTTATATCTGCTCCACCCTCTTCTGCTGTCACAGTACTTTTTCATATAACTCCTGGGCCCAGCTGTTGTCATAGTGGATGACTTGTAAGGTTTGCATTGCTGTAACTTGGTGGTTGGCTTGGTTCCTAAGTAAAAAAAAAACAACTTTTTTTTTTCCCCTTTTTTTTCTTAATTGAGGAAATTTAACTTTGTGCAGGCTCTGCACACAAATAGAACAACTGCTGTTGAGCTTGTCAGCCCTGGCAGTGTCCTGTTGAGAGGCCTCCTGGAGTCAAGTGCACTTGCCTTCTCGATATGAAAAGGAATTTATATTTGTAATGAATATTCATACGAGAAAGACATGGGTGATCTGCAGATAAAACGAAGGTTTTTAACCTCACAAAAGCAGTACTGTGAGAATTAGGATGGATGGAATCCTAAATGGCACAATTCAGCCTATCCCATCACAGGAGCCAAAGGGTGCAGTTCTGCCCAAATCGATGGAGTAGCTTTCATTTACCCCCACAGTGAATTTGTTACCTACCCAGCCAGACCTAATACATTTTGACATGAACAGATGAGAGGATCAGTCCATTAATGCAGAAGATTTAGTAGCTATTTGGTGAGTTTTTCCCATCTTTGACATTTCAGAATGGAGCTTAACGATGCAGCAGTTTAGCAGAAGCAACCTGACTGCACGGGGACATTGCTTTTCCTCTCTTCCTGCTGCCTTTTCCAGGCTTGGCATTCTCAGTGTGGATGACTTGGGACTGTAGGGTCCCTTTTCAAGTGCACCTACAGGCTTTGCCACAGCTGTTAAGCTTCCTTTGTGAAGCAGGAGTTCTACAAGGGCACAGGTTAGTCAGTTTTTCAGAGCTCAAAATAATCCTGTTTCCCTGGTTCCTCAGAAGATTTTGTGTTTAAAAAATAAAAATAAAAAAAAATTACACACTTTAATAGAAATACTTTTCCTTCATTAAATTAAATCTCTAAAGCCCAATAGCATTTTCTGTGCTTATATGAAAATGCCAGTGGGGATTTGAGATTAAAAGCGGTATTTTTCTACAAGTCAATGAAGATCTCAATAGGAAAAAACACTCTTCAAATATAAATTCCTCCAGTATCGAGAAAGACAGATTTTCTACTTAGGTCCTTGATAATACTTTTCCCAACCTTGTTATGAAACTCTGTTTTCACATATCTGATATAAGGCTGTTACACATTAGCTCTCCATTTAATGATATCTTATTAATAGTGCCTTTTTTATTATAGAGATATGCCAAGCTACTCAGATTTAATTCATGTTTAACAGTAAACATGAGGTACTGTGACCCATTTATATGCAGCTCAGGTTCTCTTTTTCTATTAAAAAAAATGAAATAAAACTGAATGGTATATTAAAAGTGGAACTAAAATATACCTACTATTGATTTATATTGGTATAATTTTGGGTGTTGCCATGAAAAGCCACTTATATATGTGATCCACAACTAGAGGAGTAGGAAAGGAACACAACAAAAGAAATTCCCAGGAAAGGTTTGATGGTGGTTTGTTTGGGGATTTTTTTTCTCCCTCTTCTGATGTCTTCTATCCATCCAAGGAAAAAAAAAATACCCTAAGAACCTAAGATCTGCATTTTTGTAGATAAAATACTGCATGATCAAAGTGCAGATTTTGGGAAAGCACTTTCCAGATGGTTTTACAGGGAAGAAACAGGCATCATTTGGCTTTAGTAATAGATGCAAAGGTTTTATTTGATTCAAGGATCTCAAATCAGTGCATAAAACCAGATAATCATTGCTAGTGCTTTCAAAATGGAGGAAAATAAAGCAAGAATTGTGAAAACACATCAAAATATATCAGGTGGGTATATACAGTCCCTATAGCAATTTTCTTCATAGAATGGTCTGGGTTGGAAAAACCTTAAAGATCTTCTCATTCCAGCCCCCTGCCCTGGGCAGTGACACCTTCCACTGTCCCAGGTTGCTCAGAGCCCTGTTCAGCCTTGAACATTCCAGGGATGGGGCAGCCACAGCTTCTCTGGGCATCCTGTGCCTCACCACTCTCAGTCTGGGAGGTTCCTGACCTGCTGCTTAAAACAACCATCAGTTTTTCAGCAGCCACCTGTGCTTCCAGAAAAAGCCCAAAATAAGGTTTAAAAAAACCCAGTTAACTCAAGGTGGTCAAGTAGAGTGTGCTCAAGGACAGTCCTTGAATTCTGTCTCTGTTTTCAGATCCCATCTTGTGTCAGCATGGGAAGGTCCTCTCACTCTGACCTCCCTCCTGAAGTTGCGCAGACAAATCAGGGGAGAGCTGGGATAGGGAAACAGTATTTTAACACACCCCCTGTCATTTTAGGTTTTCCAAACTGAATTTGGAATTCAGTTCTGAATTTGAGCCTTCAGAGAACCCCAGTCTTCAGTCTTTGGGGATGTCTTATGTCTTCACACTGAAGCTACTTCTCTTTGTCACCTAAGTCAATGTTCACTGGATTAGCTGTTGAGCAAGAGCAATCAGGATCCTGTAATCTTCTATTCAGGGTGTCAGTGTGGAAGGAGGGAAAACAGATTTCTGGTTCATGTGCTGTTTAATGCTATGTACTTTAAAAAAGGAAAAAAAATTCTCCTGTGTAATGTATTTAGGATATTCCTGGAAGTGCAAAGGTGGTTTCAGGTGTCTTCAGCCTAAATAATGGGTTTTGCCTGGAGACTTTCCTGATGCTGGCCAAGACTCCTTAGCATATAAGTATTGAAAACTCAGAGATTGTTACCACTACTTTTTTACCTCTGATTTTTGTGGTGCTCTTCCCTTAGGCACAATTTGGAAATATCTATTAAAAGTAGCAGGAGAGACAGAGGTAAATGGATTTCTGGAAGACTTGGCCAAAGGAGGAACTCTGGTTGCCTATGGATACTGACATCTCCTGAACTAGGTGACAGCTGAATGCAGTTTTTGAAGATCTAAACTATGGACTTAAATGGGATTTAGGCGACTTTAGTGGCTAAATCTGTTTGCGGATTTATTCCTGAATGTCTTTTGAAAGGTTACTCATCAGTTCAGTGGAAGAGCAACTGAAAGAACACAGGATTTTTGACTTCTCTCCCCATATTCAGACAGCGCTACATTATGTGTTTGATAGAGGACAATGACCTTCAGAAAGTTTTCCATCATTTTAGAAGCTTTCTCAAAACTAGGACAGTGGTCTGGGCTCAGTCCTGACAACTTCTGAAAAGCCTCTCCAGGGTTCAGTCCTAAATATCATCACTGTGGACACATCTGGTTTGAAAGCTTAAATTCTGCAATGATGAGAAAAATCTGCTTGAATTTAATGGCATGGAAACTCTCTTTTTTCTTTCCATACCTCAGAAATGTGCAGGGCTACATTAAACCAACACTCTGGAAACAAAACCGCTTAAATCCACGCTGGCTTTTGCATGTGCTCTGTATGGTAATAACTGTGGCTAATGGGAAGATAGCTTCTACAATTATTATAATCAATAGATTGGGAATGCAAAGATAAAGCAAATTAGGACTAATCTGTTCTCTGTTTCTCCTAAATCAGTTCATGAACCAAGAAGGCAGCGCAAGTGCTGACTTAGCTTTTCATTCAAATCGAGTTTTTGTGTCACATACTCCTAAGGACAGAAGAGTTAAGTCTTCCACTTGTCTGAAGTACCCCTATTAATTTTTCTTTCATCTGAAAAAGCTCCAAATCTCTCCAATATTTTTGTCTGGAGGACAGTATGGTTGGGTAACACATGGCTTTCATCAGAGGTAAGACCAGGGAGTGTCCTCCCAGCCTGCTGGGGCCAGGGAGGTGTGGGGAGTTGGGGTACAGATGTTTTGCTGGTGGTTGTTCCAACCACTCAGTGGTCTGTGCTGGATGAGCTGTTAACCCATATTGCTTCAAGGATTCATCACTTGAATGGGCTTGAAATTGCTTTTCTCTTACTGACAAAGTGCTTCCTGAAAATCTCCTTTTCCATAGCCTGAGGGATATTTGGGAAGAATTATCAACTCCTGTACAACTGGGGGACACTTAGCACAAACTGGGATGTGCGTGGTCATGTAGTATTCACTGGTTTTCAGCTCCATGAGGGGCCCCAAGGTTGACTGCTGGCTCTGAAGCTACCTTTGATAAAGGGAAGTTCCACTGGATTCCAGCTCAGCTGAAGGTCATTAGCATTCTCCTGCTGTATTACATGCAGATTTTCTTGGCTCACAAGAATAGCATTACATGGAGTATGCATCCTGTATCAGCTAAAGAAATGCATGCATGCAGAGATATAGCCAGGGTTTATAGGCTTATGAGAAGACTTATAAACAGTCCTCTCTTCCACCTCCTCTGTCCTTATTTCCCACTGACATTCCCCCTGGCTGTGTTTTCCCTTCTTCACCCTTATTTGCTTTCAACAGATTGGGGTGAGAAGGTTTGTTTTTACTTTAAATAACTTAAAATCTGCATTAGAGTCTTTGATCTACCACCACCCTGTATTGGCTGACCCTTGGGTGCACAGAGGGTGTTTGGGAGTAAATATAAATTCAGTTATGCATCCTTGGCTCAGGAATTCAAATGCCAGGTGGCAGAATTCCTTACAGTGAGGGGATGTGGATGCAGTCCTCCCTCAAACAGGAAGGGCTGAGCAGCCAAAATTGTATTAAATGATGGAGGCATGCATGTTGATATTCTCCCTATCCTTGCTCAGGGATTTTTGTACAATACACAATATATAAACCCTGTTAGCACCAGGGTGACATGAAATAATGCACAAGACAGGGGTGTAGGAGAACTTGGAAAAATGGATTAATCTTTTCCAGTCTCCTTTTAATTAGTCTGTTTTTTCTGTTTAAATCAGGATGGGGGTGGGGAAACAGCACTGCAGAGGAAATGCCTTTGGAAAAGTCGAGAGAAGTCCATTTCAGCTGTAGGCCTTGGACCATGGTGATAGAAGAGCAGGCTCAGGGCTGGCAGCAACTGGCTGGTTGGTTGCCAGCAGCCTGCACTAAGGGGGACCCTGAGTGAGCAGAAATCAAGAGCAAGAAGCTTAGAGATGCCTTGCTGAGCACTGGGATGTTCTGAGGACAATGATGAGGCAGTTGAAAGCAGTCCCGTGTGATCCAGGGTCATTGTCTTCCATGAATCTTTCCCTCTGGATAGATTTTTTTCTTTGCATAGAAAAGTGGGGAGATTCACAGGTGCTGTGATGGTTGACATGGTCTGCAATGCCAGTGGACTCAATGAGGCAGGAAGATGTTGGTGGCCACAGAAGTTACTCCTGTGTCATCAAGTGATTTTCTTGCTTGTTTTGCCGTTTTTGTAGGTGTTGCAGGGCCTGTGTGGCACAGACAGCTTTGATGGTTTGGGTGGATAAACAAACCCCAAGTGAATTGCAAGTGGCAAAGCCCTGGGCTTTCTTTTGTCACTGAGTAGCTCCTCAGGTTCAAGCTACTTAATTAAAGAGTAGTCAACAACATGTCAGGTTCAAGCTACTTAATTAAAGAGTAGTCAACAACATGTCAGTGCTGATGGAAGCAATGACACCATCTCAGGCATCCCTCTGTGATGTCAACTGATGTCTGAAAAATTTTTTGCTTCTTAATTTATTATTTTTTTTTTTGTAAATATGCCCATTATGCACACTGACTCACTTTTTATTAATGAGAAATGTAAGGCTTTAAAGAAACAATTGCACTGTAGCCTCATTACTATGAAAAATCCATTATGTGGAAGCCATTTGTCAAAGACAATTGTTTAGTTGCTGTAATTTACATATTTATCAAGTTTGATTGGAATATAATGACTTTGACTTTCTTCATTTTTTTTAACCTTTCTAACCCTCTTTCCATGAAAAGGGTGTTTTGGTTTGCTTTATGGGAAAGGGCAAAACATAATTCAATTTACATTGACTATCAAATATACTTATTAATGTTTTGAATAATTGGAATTTTTTTTCTATATTGGAAATGAGTTATATTTCCATGCTTTTAAATGGAAACTAATGTGGGGTCTTATTAATCCATGAAACTTTTGTTTCTACCGAGGGATCTAGCTGAAAAATAGATAGCAGAAGACTCTCTAAATAAGATAATGAGTGTCAGGATAGGCAGTCACTATGGGATCTCCATAATTCTTGTGGCTGAAGGCTGAGAGTGGATGGGTTTCCAGTACAAATACACGATTTATTATGGGTGATTAATTTGCTTCTGATGCTGGGGATGTTTTGACACAGCCCCAACTGGAAGTAAATTCCCTCGGCCACAGGCTGGTGGCCAGGAGGCTGCTGAGGACACGGATCCACACGAGCATCTTACACTCCACTGAGCTGTTAGAAGGCAGGCAGAGGTGATGAGAAGCTGCTCCAGCAGCTGATACTGGGAGTTGTTAAGAAATGTGGCACTGCTGTTTGCAGCCGGCCCCGAGTGAAGAAATCTCTTCCCTGTGCTATGGAAAAAGCTACAAGATATGATTTGGTGGCTGCAAAAACGACAGGTGAAGAGCAGGATTCTCCTCTGAGCTCTTGAACATGAGAATTGAAAGATCTGTGGTTTGCCTGCATGTGAAATTCATCTGGAGGGGTCTGTCAGTTCCTCTGGAGTAGCCCAAGAAAAAGCTAGAACAATGCATAAAAAAATTAACTAATTTTAAAAAGATATAAACAACAAGGGAAGAAGCAAGTGACAAAATATAATGAAATTCAGCGAAAGAAACTGTTGGCTAAATACTGAGAAAAATACCCTCAGGTTGAGAGAAAGAAATAATTTTCTCCAGGAACTGGGTGCTGACCAGATAAGGATGGTCTAGGTGAGCTAAAAGGTCCTTCCCAGACCAGCTGTGAAAGGGATTACAGCTATTTCAGCCCCTAACTTTGAGAGCTAGTGAATATCAAGCAGCAGGTGGCCAGCCACAAGTATAACCTACGTGACAAAAAATGATCTGCTACAGGAGCTGTGGCATGCAGTTCGTCAGCCCCTTTTCTGTCCTCTGCTGCTTCACAGCATCTCCCACTTGACATTCCTCTCTTTGACATGTCCCATCCTTTAAATAAATGATGACTGAGAGTGATCCCCTTGAGCTTCAACTTGGAGCGTGTTTTTATTAATTTATTTCTCGCTGTGCTAGATTTCTCCCCCTCCACTTTTAAAGTCTCCTTTGACTTTAATTAAAATTCTCCATAGGCTTATTGCCTTGAGAGAGAGAGAGAGAGAGAGTGTGAGTGTGTATAAATTGGTTTTAACAGTTTGCTGACTAGATGGGTTTTACAAAGCTCTCACAGCCTTCTGGTGTGTGTCTGGTGTGGGCAACAAAATGTGTTTTCCCTTATGCCCTGTGCTGTATTGATTGACTGCCTCTGGAATTTATTGCTAACTAATGATGGGACAAAAAGGACAATTAGGATCGGTGGACACTTGCAGGCACATGAAGCTAATGTGGTGCTTACAGGGAGCTTTGGGAAGGGTCACGTCTGTGAGAGGAGCTGCTCTCAGTTTGTTGAGAGGCAGGGGACTGAGCTGGCAGGTTGGCTGGGGAAGGAGAAGGTTTTATGTGTCCAGCTGGAATTTAAACATCTTTGCCATAATTGTTTTTGCAACGGAGGGGAAAATGTCATAAGCAGCATCTGAATAAGAATGGCAGCTTGCTTAATTGTTGGTCCTTAAGGAGAATGGAAAGTGCCCTGACTCCAGGCATGCATCTCACCCCTTTCTTTTTGAAGGAAAGGACGAGGGTGAGACAGGACTTTCTCCTGCCAGACTCTGGGATTTATCATACAGGTCCAAAACTCTCAGTGCTCTTCTGTCCGAGGTCATGTCTGTGACACCTGCTGGTGCTGGAGTCAGTGAATGGAGTGCACTAAGCAGAGCTGATTTAGGGCTGTTGACTCCTCCCAAGCCACAGACTCCCTGACATCATGTCCCTGTGATTAAAATCATTGAAGAATCAATGAACAAAAGCAGGGGCCTGTGAAAAGGGGGACTTTTCCACCCCATCTTTGCCATCCTGCTGACATTAAGAACAGGATTTGAAACCTGTCTAATACAATAAAGAAGGATTTGCTCCTGGCTGCCTTAGGGGTGTATGTACTTCAGCCCTGAGGGTAGTCTGCATGCCCCACCTTGCTGAAGTATTTTAAAATTTGAATTTGGTGTGTAAGACCCTCTACTGAGCATCTTAATTTTTGGTGCTGGGTGTTTGGGGCCAAATTCTAATTTCAGGCAAGCAGTGAATATGAAAATAGAAACCATTCACTGGTGTCTATTTCTTGCCTGTGGTCTCAAGCCTCTTTCCAAACAGAGTGTTGGTGCTTCCCAGAGAGGTCAGTGGCACGTTCTGAGGAGCATGGCTCTTCATGAATCTCATTTCAGCAGGTTGCTTTTTATTGACCGCTGGCTCAGCTACTGAAGAGCTCACAGTCAGAGTTCAGTAAAGGCCAAAAC